TTCACAAATTGAAGTAAAAACCGTGCAAAATTTCGACATTTTTTATAAAGATTCAACTTGATTTTTCTAATCTCACTCATTTAATTGAGTTCAATTGAATGATATCATGCCTAGAGTCAAATGAAAGCATTTGCTAAGTTTTACGATATGAACATAAAAGATACATGATTGTTTCGTTTATTGTCGAAGATTTTGCTTGCAGTAGGATCTCCATATCAGCCATTTTTATTCCGACTTTCGATGTGAAAGTAACGGAATATTTGTGCTCGGGGTGGGGTTTTTTTCTTCAGACAAATTTCCACTTTTTATCTAGCCATTTTTGACGGATTTTTTTTATCTCATTCAAAAGGTATTCTTGTCCTGAGCTCCAATTTGAAAAGATATTTTACCTGTGATCATTTTTCTTAAAGTTATGGGGGTGTAATGATTGCCATTTTGGCCAATTTGGGACAATAAACGCGCAATATATTTCGCGCTATTAACGCGTAAGCCAAGAGTTAATCCGTCTTAAAATTGTTCCAAAATGGTTCAAAGAAGCTTATTTGACATAATTGAAATGTTACAAGGAGCTAAATCTATCATTTTGTACTTTAAATGGCGTGTGGGGTGATAATTTTCATTAAAAAATCAAATTTAAAAAAAAAATATTTTATTACATTTAATTTTTAATGATATTACTGCTCCATAAAACCTTAAAAGGCAGTCGGAACATTCAGGGATTCGCCCTGATACAAGCAGTCTTGTTTTCTTTTGCCATATTAGTGATATTGGTGTCTATGATGGGGGCTATTCTCATGCGCGAAGGACCGAATGCGCAAAAAAACTTGTGTGCGAAAAACCGAAAACAAAGTAGCCGAAAGTAAATTTTTAAAAAGAAGCAGTTGCCATTCAATTAAGAAGAACTAAATGAAGAAACAGTTTGCTTCTTTCATTACGAAGCCCCTGAAATGTAAAAGTTGTCCCAATTTTGCGGCGGTCAATGACAATATTAAAATTTTGAATATTTCTGCCGTTTTTTTGTTGGCCAATCTCAATACCCCAGTCCCTGGAAATGTTTACTTTCTTTCCAAGTTTTAGATTACTGAAATCTGATTGAGTGATTTATACTTTCGCGCATTCGGACTTTTGCGCATAAGGGATTCCATCGTCTATGATAGCAATTACTCAGCTACTGTTGAAGTAAATTTCAGTTTAAAAATTCTCACAAATGTGAAAAAATGTGGTAATTTTCCGTCACATACTCTTGAAAACTGGCGGCAATGCATAGTAAATTTCCACATCCCGCATTCGCAAAACAAAATTTTCATAATTGTGCTCAAGAACAACATAAAGCAAAAACAAGACTGCTCGTATCAGGGTGAAGCCCTGAAAGTTCCGGCTGCCTTTTAAGGTCTTTGGAGCATTAATAAGATGAAAAATTTCAATGTAATAAAAAAAATAAAAAATTTTTTTGAAAAATTTGAGATTTTAGGTAAAAACATACCCCACACGTCATATTAAGTACAAAGTGATAAATTTTGTGCCTATTAACAAATCAAATATGGCATATAAGCTTCCTTGAACCAATTTGGAACGATTTCTAAGACGGATTAAATCTCGCTTACGCGTTGAAAGCTCGAAATATATCTCACGTTAATTGTCCCAAATTGGCCAAAATAGCAATCTTTAAACCCCCATAACATTACAAAAAATTATCACATGGAAAATATCTTTTCAAATTCAAGCTCAGGACAACAATAGCTTTCGAATGATATAAGAAAATTTCGTCAAAAACGGCTAGTTAAAAAGTCGAAATTTGTCTGAGGAAAAAAAAACCCACCCCGAGCACAAATATTCTGTTTTTTTTTCGTATCGAAACTCGGAACAGAAATCTACTCAATTACAGGGTGTTACAAAAAAGGATCCAAGCTGTAATATCTTGAGAACTATGAACTATGTTGTGTAGTCACCGGTAAAACTTTGTTCAATCTGGGAAAGAATTGCCGTGTTGTTTCAATATGCTGTAACGAAAACAGCCCTGATCAATTTTGATAATTTGGTTGAAAGTGGATTTGGGTATTCCAGTTTCATTTTTCCGCGCAGAGATCTTTGGATTAGAAACAACAGCTTGCCGAACAACCAGAATATTTGCATAACTTATCGTTTTTTTTTCACCCGGTTTTACCTTTGTTCAGATTATGACTGAAAGTATTTGATTGGTGCTAAGGCAACAAGACTAAACGTCAGGGAAAAGCCCTGAATGTTCGACTGCTTTTAATTGGTCTCGGATAATTTTTGGTAAATTATTGTATTGGCAAAACTATTTAAGCTAGAAATAATAAAAATTTAGAGATGAAGTTTCAGTTGTGTATGGAATTAGTAAATCAGTTAATTGCCGCCACAAAATGACATACTAATGGCAGGTGTGTAGAGTGGTTTGCATGCAGATCAAGATATCGATCGCTCAAGGGACTGGAGTTTTGTAAAAATGATGAAAAATAAACCGCCCCGGGCACATATATTCCTCACATTCTTCGAAAGTCTGAATAAAAAAGCTTCGCTGCTTGATTGTGAATTGCGGAGCGGAAGATTGCGTTAATTTTAACTTCAAACCTGGTTCAGTATTATCGTTTTCCGAAAAATGGTGTCTTGAGCTGCTAAAAATGTGTCGAGTTTCAAGAAATTTGATTTGGTAATTAAAGCGTAATTTCAGTATCGATTCTTTTTTTGGTCACTCTGTGAGTGAACTTCCACCCAATATACGGGAAAAGTCTTATAATTGGTCTTATAATATAATAGCAATCTTCAAACCCCATAGCTTTACGAAAAATGATCACAGGTAAAATATCTTTTCAAAGTCAAGCTCAGGACAACAATAGCTTTCGAATGATATAAAAAAATTCCGCCAAAAACGGCTAGTTAAAAAGTCGAATTTTGTCTGAGGAAAAAAAACCCACCCCGAGCACAAACATTCTGTTACTTTCGTTTCGAAATTCGGAACAAAAATCTACTCGTTTACAGGGTGTTCCAAAAAAGGATCCAAGCTGTAATATCTTGAGAACTATGTTGTGTAGTCACCGGTAAAACTTTGTTCAATCTGGGAAAGAATTGCCGTGTTGTTTCATTATGCTGTAACGAAAATAGCCCTGATCAATGTTGATAATTTGGTTGAAAGTGGATTTGGGTATTCCAGTTTCATTTTTCCGCGCAGAGATCTCTGGATTAGAAACAACAGCTTGCCGAACAACCAGAATATTTGCATAACTTCTCGTGTTTTTTTTCGCCCGGTGTTACCTTTGTTCAGATTATGACTGAAAGTATTTGATTGGTGCTAAGGCAACAAGACTAAGCGTCAGGGAAAAGCCCTGAAAGTTCGACTGCTTTTAATTGGTCTCGGATAATTTTTGGTAAATTATTGTATTGGCAAAACTATTTAGTCTAGTAATAATAAAAATTTAGAGATGAAGTTTCAGTTGTGTATGGAATTAATAAATCAGTTAATTGCCGCCGCAAAATGACATACTAATGGCAGGTGTGTAGAGTGGTTTGCATGCAGATCAAGATATCGATCGCTCAAGGGACTGGAGTTTTGTAAAAATGATGAAAAAAAACCGCCCGAGCACATATATTCCTCACATTCTTCGAAAGTCTGTTAAAAAAGCTTCGCTGCTTGATTGTAAATTGCGGAGCGGAAGATTGCGTTAATTTTGTGTTCAAACGTGGTTCAGTATTATCGTTTTCCGAAAAATGGTGTCTTGAGCTGCTAAAAATGTGTCGAGTTTCAAGAAATTTGATTTGGTAATTAAAGCGTAATTTCAGTATCGATTCTTTTTTGGGTCACTCTGTGACTGAAATTCCACCCAATACACGGGAAAAGTCTTATAACATCATCCTTAAATTTACTCTAAAATGTTTCTGACAATTGGTCCACCGGCTGCTTGGGTTGAGAAGCACTGATAGGCATGAGTTTTAGAATTTTATTTAAGAACTCAAATGCATAAAATACGGAATTCAATAAACTGATTATCTTGTCCGAAATAGAGTCATATTGTCTGGAAAATGGATCATATTGTCTAAAAACATGCATTTTTCTACTCGAAAAACAATCTGTTTGAAATCCTAAAACAAAATAGAACTTCAAAAAGAACGATATGAATTTGAAAAATCATCAAATTAAGTCAACGCGCGTCAACGCGCGTCAACGCGCGTTTTTTTGGTCGAAACTTTCCAAAAAGTGCCTAAAAACGCCTTTTTTGACCTTTTTTCAAAAATTTGCCTGCGGCACAGAAAATTTCGTCAAATTAGAGTCTTTATAGTGGTTTGGGAGAGCTCTGAAAATCAATTTGGTCGACCTAAAAAAAGTCGACAAAATTGTTTTTTTTTTGAAAATCCGCCCCGCGCTACCCTCGAGAAAACGCACCAACGTGCTGCGAGCTTGCCAACAGAGGGCAGGACTTTCAAAGAAAATTAGAGCCGTCTATCGTCCCGAACCTGAAATTAAAGTTACCAAGTCAGCGCCACTTTTGGCGTTTTATGTTCTTAAAAAAATCTGGACATCAGATATTGAACCGAACTTACAAATTCTTGAAACTCATTATTGAAAACTCATTAAAAATTCATGGGAAAAATGAAAAAAGATGGTTCCATTAGTTTTGCGTAGTTTTTTTGTGGCTTCAAACTGCAACAACTTTTGGGGTGGAGGTGCTGAGAGGACTTCAGGTACTGTTTAATAGAAAGCTATTTATGGTACAGAACAATTTTTATCTTCTTTTATTTTGAAAGTTATTAACTTCGTCCAAAGCTTTAAGAGCTGAAAAACTTCAATTTGAGAAATATTACTTGAACTTGTACAATTAGTAAGTTGTGCCTGATTTTTGAAAAGAAACTTCGACGCAGGATGTCTTTTCTACGACTGACGGATTTTTCTTAATCATCTTAAAAAATTCAAACCCCGAGCTCAAACTTAAGAAGATATTTCATCTATTAACTACTTCTAATGAACTATTTTCTGCGTTGTGCAGAGAAACAGACCAAGTACGTGAAGATGTCTTGGGGTCAGAGATGTGACGTCACTCTCTACATCAGTGACGAGAACAACACCAGTTTCCCCACCATCAAGGTCACCAAGTACAAAGGATATAGAATGGTGAGAACACTGCTTGATTATTGAAACTCAGAAAAAATACACCTGCAAAACATAAAATGTCAATTCAACGGCAATAGAAATTTTAATATGTTAAAAACTATGAAGAGAAGCTGCGAGGAAAAACTTGATTTTGAGAAAAACAGTCAATTTCAATTATCACGTTGAAGTTTTGTTACTGTTTTGAAAATTACCCAATGTGATTAAATGGTAAAAATTACTTAGAGTTTCGTAAAACTAGCAAATTTGATGAAAAAACCAAAATATCATTTTTACTGGATAAAAACTCGTGCATCTAATAATAATAGAGAAACGACAGTTTTCAAATTGTCACTGACCGCCGGCGAATTAGAAAAATTTCATATTTCAATGTTTTCCTTATAAAAGAAGCAAACAATTGCTTCATTTAATTCATTTTTTAATAATGGCAATTGATTCATTTTAATAATAGATTTCGACTGTTTTGTTTTCGGTCCTTTGCCCATGAGTTTTTAGCTAATTCGGTCTTTCATCCATGATAATAACCCCTGACAGCTTGAACCCAATTGTAGGACTCAATTTGTTTTTGTTTTCACAAATTTACATTGGAAAAAGTTAGAAAATACGAGATAAAAATTTACCAAAATATTTAACTTGTGGTTTTTCCCGATAAAGCTACTTGACACTCATTATCTGTCATATTCAGTGGCGTACGCAGAAAATTTTCTAGAAAAAATTTTGAAAATTTCGCTGACTTCTTCTTAGGTTTATCAATTTGAATTTCCGAGCTCTCCTAAAATACTGCAAGGACCTCATTTTGCCTAAAATTTTTTGCGCCGCAAGTAAATTTTTCAAAAAACAGGCCAAGAAATAGAAGAATTGAAAAATTCGTTTATATTGAACTGGTTGTTTGAGGGATTTGACTAACAATCGGTGATAGCAAACGTTATTTTTCAGAACTGTTCACTAGTTTTTCAAGGCGGTGTAAAAAAGTAAGAATTAATCCACTTCACTTTTCCTTTTTGTTAGACTTTCCAAGAATGTGGCAGGAAACTTGTGTTCGGGGTGTTTTTTTTCTCCAGACGAATTTCGAATTTTTAACTAGCTATTTTTGACGAATTTTTATATCAGCCGACAGCCGAAAGGGATTGATCTTCTGAGCTCAAAGGTAAAAAGATATACAACATGTGATTATTTTTTTTCAAGTTATGAGAGTCTAAAGGTTGCCAGTTTGGCCAATTTGGCCAATGTAGCCAATTTGGCCAATTTGGCACAACTAAAGCGTGATTTATTTCGCGCTGTTAACGCATAAATGGCTATTTAATCCGTCAAAGAAATCGGTCCAAGTTGGTTGAAGGAGGCTTTTTGGCATAATTGCTGTTTACTGGGAGAAAAATTTTTATCTTTTTTTGTACTTTATATAGCGTGTGGAGTGATGATAAGAAAATCTCAAAAATTTTAAAATTCATCATTTTTTCTAGGCGAATATTGCTCCATAGCCCTAGAAAGGCAGTCGGTACATTCAAGGCTTCACCCTGATTCGAGCAGTCTTGTTGCATTGTTTTCTCCCGTTGGAAATCATTCTGAATATGTTCAGATCATTTGAACGTATTCAAATTTTCGGACGCAGAATTACGAGTTAGAGGGCTTAATAATGATTCTACACGTAGTCACTTACCATTTTGTGTTAAGGCACGTAAAATCGCGGGAAAAAATTGAGTGTTTCTTAAGAGTAGTAAGAAAAATCAACACCTTGTTACAATCGCTGTGATAACTTTCTGTCGCCAATCACACAGCAAAAATGTAATTTTTTGAGAACCTTGAAGAAGAGAAAGTATATAATTGACGAGTATATATTTGATTAAAAAGTATAGAAGCAAATGAGCTACTAATTTCCTTTTTTTGCGGCGGATGCTATAATCTAAAGAAATTTTGCATGTTGTGAAATTAGATACGAAGAGCGTTGTTTTTATTTAGCAAAGAGAATCATTTGTTGTTTTCTGCGCGAGCTGTGAAGCAAAAGTAAAAATTTGATAATATGGGTTGGTTCATTTTCCTTTTCTTCCCACCTGCAAATTCTTGCAGTAAATTTTTAGTTTTAGGTCCGATGACTATGAAAATTGGCGCGCGGACTAATTATGACAAATATAAGTCTCTTAATTGATCTTGTAAAAACGCACGTTACTCCGCAAAACTTAGCCTTATGTGAGGTGGAGGAGGGGGAGCTTTTCTGACGCGCAATCATTGTAGATTATAAGTTGAAACTTACGGAGATGTCAGCATGTGGAAATTAATAATTACTCGATAACCAAATTGACTCGACTAAATATTTCACAGCTGTGGTCTAAAACGAGGAACACGTTCAAACTGGCTTACGAGAAGTTCTTTGACCAAGTGGACTGGTTCCTCAAGACGGATGATGACACTTATGTTAACGTGGACAACTTGAGGAGGTTCCTGGCCAAGAAAGACACAAATTCGCCCATGTTCTATGGCAAATTCTTCTCTCCATTCGTAAAAGGTATCACTTTCTGGTTCTTAACTAACCATATAACTCAAATTCAGAAATTATTCCGCAACTTAAAACTATCCCGGAACAATCAAAATATCTTAAAATGATTGTATCGAATATGAGAAATTTCACGGATCTGTAACACCAGCATAAAAATTCATAAAATGTAATTACACGGAAGAAAACTCACGCTCAAAAATATTTTAACTCCAATAGCCGAAAAACAGCAAACCAGAACCAACAATTAACGTTTCAAGTTAGGCCGATTAATACAATGAAATACAGATTATATTCGACTTTTTTCTGTTCGTCATAGTCGGAATAACTTTTTAGTCACTGACAAAAATAGCTCTCGAATTCTTTCAATGAATCAATTATGCGAGACAAGAACATTTTTTGGAGGCCTTGAAAATTGTAATGAAATTTAGGTGGCTACGCAAGCGGAGGCGCTGGTTATGTCATGGGTAAAGCAGCTCTCACACTATTAAACGAAAAGGCATTCAAAAACACTAGCGCGTGTGCGGACGAAGGAGTCGATACCGCCGAGGATGTCGGGATGGGAAAGTGCATGTCGTACGCTGGAGTCACGTTAGCCCGAGACGCCTATGATTCGCAAAAACGGGAACTATTTCACTCGTTTCCTCCCGAGAGGGAGTATATCATTCCTTGGAAGAAGATCGGGTTCTACAGACAGTTTTCGATTAATCGACTAGGTGGTGACGCGTGTTGTTCTCAGGATGTGATAAGTTATCACTATGTGAAGGGGCCAACAATGTTGTTTGTTGATTATTTATTCCAAAACTTCACTAAAACTTCACTAGAATGAAAAGGTGCTTCAAATAATTTGGTAATGAAAACTGGATGGTAATGCATTGGTATTTTTTAATGCATTCTTTTTTGCATAACCACATTATTGCAGAACTGTTTATCAAAAACTTCGATGAAGTTATAGTTTATAAAATTTTGTAATCAAGTCACGTAAAGAATGGTTGTAACACCTCACTCGCGCATACTTATAATTCAAATAGCGTCAGAATAGTTCTTTTCACTGTTGAAAGCTCTTTCAATATTTATTTTAACTTTAAAAAAAAGATATGTAACCATAAAGGTGCAGAAATAACAACAAGAATGCCCAAATCAGAGCAAAACTCTGAACTTTCCGACGCGTATACTGCAATTGAGTTAGGCGCAATCGACTACAGTTGTCTTCAAAAAATGAATAACAAACAGAAAAGGAGAAAAAACTCTTTGAATTTTTTTCTTAAATTGTTTTTAATTTTCGCAGGATGCTATTTTATACATGAAAAGTTTTAATCGCGATGGAAGCGAAAGCTTTGCTTCCAATACAGTTTTTCCTGAAGTAAGTCTAAGTTCTCCACTAGTTAAATGATTTAAAAAAATTCTGTCTTGCTGGTTTAACTCACAAACAAGCTAGCTTTACTCGCTCGAAATAAGTCTAAAACTCAAAAAACTTTATACCGGTTTTTTCTATGCGGTTAAAAAATTTTCAGCCAACTTTAGCCCCCACCGGAACACAATTTTACTTCCCGTTCTTAAGAGTCACCATTGTTTGGTATGTTAAGAATGCCCGTATCAGGACAAAGCTTTGAATTTCCGACCGCCAATTACAATCTCTTGATAGTTTTTCCTCAAATAACTTTGAAAAAATAGATACTGATACTCGCGTTTAAATGAATGAAACCATGTGTCGCGAAAATTAAAATTAGAACTTTTAAGACAGACAAAGGCCTTGAAACTACTGGTATGTCCGATTAAGGTCAACTTGCCATCAGAATTTATCAACAGAGTTTTGAGAATGTTGAGAAGTTTGAGAGTTCATGTTATACGGAAAACTAGTAACTTATTTTTTTTTCGGATGTTGTTCGCTCAATAGTTTTTCTGTTTAAGTTAACTATAATTTACAGACGTTGAAACAGGTGTTTTAGCCTGAGTCTCAGTCTTACAGGGTGCCACAGGAGAGTGCGGCACATTTTGGCGTGCCGAGCCGGACAGCAACTATTCCAGAGGAAGTGCAGTTTGATCGAAGTTGAAGTAATTCTATTCCTCCAATATTTTTGCGAGTAGAAACGTACAGCAGCTGTTTTTGCAGACAAAATGACACAACTGTAGTGTACCTGGAGACTGCTCTGGGAACACAAAAGCTGCTCATATCGGCGCCGAAAGGCGACAGAAGAGAAGTAAGGCAAATCACCATCGCAAAAGTCATCGAGTTCGGAAAGTGGAAATCAGAATAGAGATAACGAAAACGGAGGCCAGCTCATGTATCCAGACATGACGAAAACGGAAGCCTGTTCAACTTTCCAGACATAGCATAAGCTGAGCTCTGTTGATGTGTTCAGACATAGCAAAACCAGAGGCCTGCTGAAGTATGTGTCTGGATATTTCGCTATATCTGATATCCAGACATAGCGAAAACGAAGGCTTGTCCAGGTATCCAGACATAGCGAAAACGAAAGCCTGCTCAAGTATCCAGACCTAGCAAAACCAGAGGCCTGCTGAAGTATGTGTCTGGATATTTCGCTATGCCTGATATCCAGACATAGCGAAAATTTAGGCTTGTCCAGGTATCCAGACATAGCGAAAACGAAAGCCTGCTCAAGTATCCAGACATAGCGAACACGGAGACCTGTGAAAATGAAGAGACCTATCTTATCGGGTATCATGTAGAGGCATTTTCAGGTATCCTGTTAATGGAGTTTGTAGCTTTTGGTTGACGTGAAACTGGAGTTCTTTCTTGTCATCCTAAGTTTTTGTTGGATTTTCCGGAATTTACCTGTAAACACCTTCTCAAAACTTGTAAGACTGACTACGAAACTTAGTTCACTTCTGCTAAACTGTTGATTTGAAGCTATAAAATCTGATACGAGCCTTTGACGGCAAAACCGTAACCACTATTTCTTCTCGATAACAAAACTGACCGAAACAATTTCGGTGTTTCCTTGGAATAAACCAGCCCCATGAACCTTTTTGAAAAAAAAAATCAAAAATTATTGATTTTTTTTCGATTTAAAAAAAAAATTGCGAGCTACTCAGGAAAGCGCCTAGTTTTTTTCTAATATAGTTTAAATGACTGAGTCAAATTTTGTGTCCAAAAATTGGACGTTTTGGGCCGAAATTTTTGAAATACGCAACCTGTCGCTAACGCATTAGGTTACTGGTTGAACTGTTTTAATTTCTCATTGTTTTGTTATATTTTCTAGGTGCTTAAGCTAGCAATGCGAAACAAGACAGCATTTATGATGCTGCTAGCATAACGATGCCACCTGCTTGACTAGGTAACTTAAGAAACTTGCATGTGATTCGATCACTCTAGCCGTTAACACAAAAACGACTGCCTACTTTCATCTATTCGTGAAAAAGACTGAATGAAAACAGAGAAAAACGTGGTTTTTATGGAGAGCTCAATTATTACATGTGTGGCCGTAAAATGAAGAAGCAAAATAGTTATATTGTTAAAAACTTACTTCATATAATTTCTCGATGCTTAAAAAAGAAATGTGAAAAAAAAGACATCAATGACAATGCTAGTTGCAGAATGATGCTACTGCTTGACCAAGTATTTTTTAAAAGTTTGATGCAATTCGATGATCCTAAGTAGTTCTGTAAAACTGATTCGCTGTTTCAACCATTCGTAAAATTGACAACCGAGAGAAAACAGAGGTCATTTTCATGAAGAGTATAACTTATCCGTAAAATAAATAATATTACTTGAAAATTTCAGTCCTATAATTTCTCAATGCTTATCCTAGCATTGCAAAACAAGACAACAATTAAAATGCTACAACAATATGAGATAAGACAGCCTTTATGATGCTGTTAGCATAACGATGCTACTTGCCTGACTAGGTAACTTCAGAAACTTTGATGTGATTCGATGACTCTAGGCGTTAACACAAAGACGACCACCTGCTTTCAACTATTCGTGAAAAAGACTGAATGAAAACAGAAAATTGTGACTTTTTCGGAGAGCTCAATCATTTCATGCGTGGCTGTAAAATGATGAAGCAAAATAGTTATATTGTTAAAAACCTACTTGTTATAATTTCTCGATGCATAAAAAATAAATGTGAAAAAAAAGAAATCAATGACAATGCTACTTGCAGAATGATGCTATTTGCTTGACCAAAAATTTTTTAAAAGTTTGAAGCCATTCGATAGTCCCAGGTAGTACTGTAAAAATGATTCACTGTTTCAACCATTCGTAAAATCGACAACTGAAAGAACTTAGATGTCGTTTTTATAAAGAGCATAACTTGACCAAATGTGGCCCTAAGGAGATAGAGCAAATTAATTATATAATTAAAATTTACCAGTCCTATAATTTCTCAATGCTTATCCTAGCATCGCAAAAAGAGATAACAATTACAATGGTACAACCAAGTGAAATAAGACAGCGCTTATGATGCTGTAAGCACAACGATGCTACTTGCTTGACTAGGTAAATTCAGAAACTTTGTTGTGATTCGTGACTCTAAGCTTTAACACAAAAACGACTGCCCACTTTCAACTATTCGTGAAAAAACTGAATGAAAACAGAGAAAAGCGTGGTTTTTATGGAGAGCTCAATTATTTCATGTGTAGCCGTATAATGATGAAGCAAAATAATTATATTGTTAAAAACTTACTTGTTATATTTTCTCGATGCTTAAAAAAGAAATGTGAAAAATAGACATCAATGACAATGTTACTTGCAGAATGATGCTATTTTCTTGACCAAATATTTTCTAAAAACTTGATGCCATTCGATGATCCCAGGCAGTACTGTAAAACTGATTCGCTGTTTCAATAATTCGTAAAATCGACAACTGAAAGAAATTAGAGGTCGTTTTTATGAAGAGCATAACTTAACCGTATGTGGCCGTAAGGAGATGGAGCAAAACAGTTATAATATTAAAAAGTATCAGTCCTATAAATTCTCAATGCTTATCCTAGCATCGCAAAAAGAGACAAAAATTCCAATGGTACAACAAATTGAACTAAGACAGTATTTGCGATGCTGTAAGCACAACGATGCTACGTGCTTGACTAGATAATTTTAGAAATTTTGATGTGATTCGTGACTCTGAGCTTTAGCGCAAAAACTACTGCCCACTTTCAACTACTCGTGAAAAAGACTGAATGAAAACAGAGAAAAGCGTGGTTTTTTCGGAGAGCTCAATTAATTCATGTGTGGCCGTAAAATGATGAAGCAAAATAATTATATTGTTAAAAACTTTTTTGTTAAATTTTCTCGATGCTTAAAAAAGAAATGTGAAAAATAGACATTAATGACAATGCTACTTGCAGAATGATGCTATTTGCTTGATCAAATATTTTCTAAAAGTTTGATGCCATTCGATGATCCCAGGCAGTACTGTAAAACTGATTCGCTGTTTCAATAATTCGTAAAATCGACGACTGAAAAAAGTTAGAGGTCGTTTTTATGAAGAGCATAATTTAACCGTATGTGGCCGTAAGGAGATGGAGCAAAACAATTGTAATATTAAAAATTATCAGTCCTATAATTTCTCAATGCTTATCCTAGGATCGCAAAATAAGACAACAATTAAAATGCAACAACAAGGTGAAATAAGACATCATTTATGATGCTGTTAGCATAACGATACTACTCGCTTGACTAGGTAACTTCAAAAAAAATGTGATGTGATTCGATGACTCTAGGCGTTAACACAAAAACGATTGAAAAGTTCCAACCATTGGTAAAATAGACCTTAAAATGAAACAGAGAAAAGCGTGGTTTTAATGAAGATCTCAATTAACCCATGTGTGGCCGTAAAATGATGCAGTAAAATAGTTATATTGTTATACTTCTCGATGCATAACAAAAAATGTGAAAAAGCAGCTATGATAATTCTACTTGCAGAAGGATGCTACTTGCGTGACCAAGTTTTTCTA